GTGGTTGTTGTATTTGTTTTATTTTAGAAACAGCTAAAGTCAAGGGAAGGATGGGGGCAAATCTCTTGAAATAAAGAAATGTAATTTTACTTCACCAAAAGTAAAGATAGATAATGCATTATCACCTCAATTGTCAAACTATTTTAGGTGAAGTTGTTCCTTGACCGGTATGGTCCCGAATTTTCTCAATTTTAATCCTTATTTATCGTGAGAATGAAATTTATTGTCACTTAATATTTCACTAAGTTCCTATCCGTGCAATTTTACTATGCATTTCATCTTGTTCAAGTAAAATCGTTGCTAGTCAATCAGCTTTCTTTATATATTCCCTATTAATACGTACTTTATAAATTAAACTATATTCTTTAATGATTATTATTTCTGGTAACTTACATAACCATACGAATGCAAATAATATATTTATACATCTTGAAGTATTGTTCAATTACACATAGATATGTAAATGATCATTTGGTTTCTACCAATTCAATGAATATTTATAATCTGATTTATTTCAATAAGCATTTATTAAGTGCCAAGTATTTGCTAAGCTCTGTGCTAAGTTGGCATTGGGGATATGAAAATAAAATTAGACATTCCTTGCCATCGAGGAATTTAAATGCTTACATATGCAAAGTAATTTTGGAAGTAGAGCTGGCATTAACCACTGAGGGGATCAAGGAAATTCTCATGTAGGAGGCACCATTTGAACTGATTCTTGAATGGAATTAGGGATTATAAGAGGTGAAGGGGAGGATGGAAGACATTCTAGGAGAGGAAGAGACAGCCTGTACAAAGGCATGAAAGAAGTAACTCTATGTACAGATAATAGAGTTTGCCTGGGACGTACAGTGTATGAGGAGGAGTAATGAGAAATCATTTTGGAACCTGTATTGAAGCCAGATCTTTAAAGTTTTGAAACACTACAAAAGTTTGTATTTTATCCTAGAATCAATAGGAATCTATTGAAACTTATTAAATTGGGGAATGATAATAATCACACCTGGGATTTAGGAATATTAATATGGTTGCTGTGTGGAGGAAAGGTGAGGAGATAGAGGAGATGCGGGATGATGCAGTAAGAAACTATTACCATGAGGCAGCTAGAGGGCACAGTGGATAGAGCACTGGCCCTAGAATCAGGAGGACCTGAGTTCAAATCTGGCCTCAGACACTTGACACTAGTTGTGTGACCCTGGGCAAGTCACTTTACCCCATTGCCTTGCAAAAAAAACCCAAAAACCAAAACAAAAACTATTTATTACCATAGTCCAGATGAAGTGATAAGAGACTGAACTCCAGAAGGTGGCCATAGGAGTGAAAAGAAGGGACTAGGAAAGGTTAGTTAGGAAAGATGTTATGAAAGGAGAATCAAAAAGAATTGGCAGCAGATTGGGTATTGAAGGAGGGAGAGGGAGTAAACAAGAGAGAGAGTAAACAAAATAAGGATGACTCCAAGGCTATGAAGCTGGGTTTCTGGAAGCATGATCGTGCCCTTATAGAAATACGGAAATTAAGAAGACGGGCAGGTTTTGCTTGGGAAAGGAGGAGTGAATGTGTTTTGGTTTGGAAATGTTTGGTTTGAGATACACATGGGATAGAGACATTCAGCAGGTAGTTGGTGCAGTGAGCCTGCAGTTCAGGAAAAGGGTGAATGCCGGAAATATGTGTTTGGGAATCATCTGCATAGAGATGACAATTGAACTCATGAAAGTTAATGAGATGACAAAAGGAAAATGTAGGGGGAAAAGAGCCCCAGAATATATCCACAAAAACAGATGGGACACAGATGATGATCTAGTAAAAGGATCTGAGAAAGTACAGGTAGGAGAAGAGTCAGGAGAGAAGAATGTCATGAAAATCCAGATGAAAAAAAGTTTTTTGGAGAAGGGGTTGGTACAAATTATTAAATGCTGCAGAAAGGTCAAAAAGGATAAGAGTTGAGAAAAAAGCCATTAGATTTAGCAATACAAGATTATTAATAACATTTATTTTTATTTTTTTATTTTTAGGCAGTTGGGGTTAAGTGACTTTTCCAGGGTCACATAGCTAGTAAGAGTCAAGTGTTTGGTCTGAGGCAGGATTTGAAATCAGGTCCTCCTGACTCCAGGGCCAGTGCTCTATCCACTGTGCCATCTAGCTGCCCCCGAGACTATTAATAATCTTAAAGAGCACAATGTCACTCAAGTATGGTATCAAAAGCTAGATTGCAAGATGGTAAGAAGTTAATAGAAGATCAAGAAATGGAGGCAGTCATTATAACTATTTTTTTAATGAGGTTGGTTATGAAAGTAAGAAGAGGTATAGGATGAAACGTGGAGATATGACAGGGTAAAACGAAAGTCAGTTTGTTTCTCTGTCTCTCTGTCTGTCTATGTATGTATGTATGTATGTATGTATCTGTCTGTCTGTCTGTCTGTCTGTCTGTCTGTCTGTCTGTCTATCTATCTATCTATCTATCTATCTATCTATCTATCTGTCTATCTGTCTGTCTGTCTGTCTGTCTGTCTGTCTGTCTGTCTGTCTGTCTATCTCCATCAGGATGGGTGAGATCTAGGCGTGTATGTTAACAGCAGGGAAGGTGCCAGTGGATAAAGAGAGATTGAAGATTAGGAAGGCAGAAGGAATCATCAGAGGCACAAATTCCTGGAGAGGGCAGGAAATGGGATCAAGTAAGTAAAAGGTTTTGCTTTAGCAATGAGAGACAATTTTTTTTTATCAGAGATTGATTAAAGTGTAAGAGGAGAGAATGACAGATAATATTGGAGGAATTTGAAGTTTAAAGCTAGGAAGAAAGGAGGTCTCAAATGAATGGCATCAATTTTCTTGGTTCTCTGCTGAGAGGGAGAGGGGTGGAGGTGACATAGGTTGCTTTGAGGAACATAAAAGAAAGAGCAGAACAGACATGGTGGGGAATGGGAACTTAGTCATGGAAGAGTAAAAGGTTTGTCATGAATCAATAACAAATGTACCTACTATATCCAAGGTGCTACAAAGAATACATGAATATTTCAATTTATCATAGATTAACATTTGCTTCATTGTAGGTAACCACTCCAGCAACACAGGCTTACATGTCTTAATCAATGATATTTGCGAGTTGTAAACAGAAAAAAAAATGTCATGCCTTGGTGATTAGTATTCCATTACTGATTCTATCTGAATTTGGCCAGGCTGGTCCTTGGGCAATAGATATACAGGCCATTTCCCACTTTAAGAGACTTTCCTTTATTGCCACAGTCTTTAAGACTATCAAGCCACATCTATATATGATGATAAGGTGCTAGGCAGGAATATAGAACTTCCATTCAAAGATGGTTCCCTGGCCATCCATCTCTTCATTTCATATCCAGCTGAGCTTCTATGGAACAGACCCTATCATGCCCCCATTTCAGTTCCCCCTCTCTATTTCCCCCCTACTTTCATTTTCAGTTTGCTTTTATGTTTTTCTTTCCCCATTAGATTGCAAACTCCTAGAGGACACAAACTCTTATCCATATTTGTGTTTCTATCACTTAGCACAATGCTTGGCACATAGTAACCACTTAATAAATGTTATTTTGATTGACTGATTGAACAGTCCAATCAAAACAAAGAGATTGGCCAAAAGAGTATTACCATAAGGAATGCAATACTAATGAACTAACTACATGATATTATTGCTCATTGCTACTATCACCTCCCTATGTAACCCTCTGTTCAATAACTAATTTAAGATTAATCTCCAGTCAGGATAAGTAAGCAAAAAATAGCAACAGATTGAGTCAATTCTAAATAAAATTTCAAATGTCCTATGATTGTATTACTCTAGAAAAATAAGCATATTTTGTGTGGGAAAGAAAGAAGAGATCCATAGTAAGATGAACAGTTTTTCCTCATTGACAGCTGCTAACATTTACATTAAAAATAGTTTTCTTATAAAGTTGAAGTTTCTAAAATAAGGTATAATCAGATATGCATTTTCCTCAATACTCAGTACTTCGTTACCAACACCAATTCATATTGAATCTGTGGATTATGGGAATCACATGTCAGTTTGTCTTCAGGAAAAAAAAATTTCAGATTGGTCACAAATTATTTTTATATAGTGATGTAATCAGTTTCTATCTAGAAGCATCCTAGTGTCTAACTTGGAGGGACCATAAAGATAATTTATTCCTCCTCCCTCATTTTACAAATGACAAAAGTAAGGCCCAGAAAGGATAAAGAACTTGTTCAAAGTAACACAGGTGGTACATGGTAGTGCAGAGATCACTAAGAATCCAGGTCTCTTACCTCTCAGTCTTTTCTATTTGTACTACAAGAAATAGCTTCCCCTGATAATTTCTATTTCAAAATAAAGAGAAGGCTTAGGTGAGATTGAATAGGTGGTAAGAGTATATGGGACAAATATACCCACATAATGATTTTTTTTAAAAAATCACTCAACAAAACAAAACACAATGAGAAACAGTAAGAACATTTAAGTCATTGAACAGGTGGATTTTTTTTTAATATTTAATTTTGCATTTCCATAAAAATTAGAAAAGGATATTTTATTGGTCATTCTCTATTTCAAGGCAGAATTCAATTTGAAATAAGTTTCTTCTTTCAAAAGATTTTCCATCTGCTTTTAAGAGCCTTCTTCAAAGTGTCCTGATACTACACACAGATCTAGTATTGACTTAAAAGAGATTTCCATGCTTGTACCATCCAGTTAGAATGGGAGGGGGAAGCAGCAAACATGGGGGGTGGGGTGGGGTGGGGGAAGTGCTAACATTATATGCTATGGAATTTGCATTTTGAATTTCCAGTTCTCAGAAGACACTGAGTTGAAATGATTGAAATATGGAAAATGTGATGTGAAACCACAAAGTTAGTCTTACTTATTGGTTTAAAAAAAAGGATTTAGGGAATCATCATTTTACCTTTGGATCAAAGATAATCCTCATGTATCTAAAATTTAAAATAAAAACATTTAAAATATTATATGTAGATTATAATTTTGAATTTTAGTTTACCTTCTGCATCTGTTAATCCTACTCCTGGCTGTTTTGCCGGCTCTTGTCCATTCTGACCCATCTTTCCGCTGTTAAAATACATAGATATATTGTCAGCAAAAATCCTTACAAAGGAAGATGCCAAAGTACACAGACAATTACAATCAGAGATAATTACAATTACATGATGTCTAAAAGATCCAAAAATAAGAAATACATATTTAATTTCAATGACTTTTCATACATAATTTCAATGAGCACACCCATTGTTGTTGTTCTAAGGCCTAGGGTGGTTCACAAAGACCAATTTAAACTCCTTGTTCTTATCAAAATATTTTAAAATCTATTCACAGTTTCTTGGATTTAAATGTTCCAAGTTAAGTTAAGCTTTTTTTGTTATTTCATGTTAAATTAGGACATGAAAAAAAAATTTCTGTTCATGTGCTCCCTCCACCAAGAGTATCAGTATATGTATTATATGTTGGGTCGGGGGGAGTGGGTGGGAAGATTGGAAGGGAGAGGGATTCAGGGGTAGGAAGTGAAATTTCTCTTCCCCTTTCTCCATCTCTGGGAATTATAACTGCCTTCTGGAACCAAAAGGTGAGAGAGGTTGAACAAATTTAAAGAACAAAACAATGAAAAAAATTTGAATTCAAAAAGTAACAGTTTAGATGCTTCACTTCTGATAACTTTTATCTTGGAATTTTCTTGGCAAAGATACTGGAGTGGTTTACCATTTCCTTTTCCAGCTCATTTTACAGATGAGGAAACTGAGGCAAACAGGGTTAAGTGACTTGTCCAGGGTCACACAGCCAGTAAGTGTGAGACCACATTTGCACTGGGGTCTTCCTCATTCCAGACCCGGTGCTTTGTCCACTGTGCCACCTAGATAACTTTTATAATCACAATGAATTGTTGCATCATCCCATGGACACTGAAGCACAGAAAATGGTTAGGTCTTATATGATTTTGGAGCTGAAAGGAAATTTAGTTCAATCCTTTAATATTATAGATTAGTAAACTGAGGTTACAGATGAAAAAACTCAGGAACTGAGAGGTGAAGCAATTGTCCAAAATCCCAAGGCAAAGGTGATTTTCCTGAATTGTCATTTTTTTAAAGTCTTGTTTTGAAATTGTCTTGCCTTGTCCTTTCATTTTGATCCATTGACACACATTTATTGAGTACATACTAGATGGAGTGTTCTAGGGGATATGATGACATGTAGAAGTCAAAGGTTCCCTGAACAAAGTGTGATACTGGAGAAAGAGTTCTGGATGTGGAATCAAAGACTATGGACTCAAATCCCAGCTCTACTTCCTATGTGTTTGACCTTGGAAAAAACATTTCAGCCTTATGGGCCTCTATTTCCTCATTTATAAAATAAGTGGGTTGGGCTAGGTGACTCCAAAACATCACTTCAAAGTCTACAATACATTTGTAATCATATATATCCTGTAGTGATACATAGATGGATGTTGAATGTAAGCTTTGAGGCACCATGTGATCTTAGATGTTGTAGATCAACCACATTGCTAAATGTTGGACTTTTAAGAATTACAAATTCCATCTTTGTCTTACAGATAGGGACACCATAGCAGATATTACATGATTTACATTGAGTCAAAGCATGGGTCAAAGGTTATATTTGGAAGTTTCTCTTTCTTCACTGCTTTTAGGAAAATTATCCTATCATGTAGAGGTAGGAAGACTCAAAAATGCTGTGATTCCAAAGTATTAGGGATTTAAATAATCTTCTACAGACTAATGAAGGGGTTCTTAACCTTTTTGGTATCATAAACCCCTCTGCCAGTCTGAGGAAAGGCTACTGATTCCAACTTAAAATAATGGCCTCAAATGTGTAAAATAAAATGTATAGGATTACCAAGGACACCATTTATATTGATTATAAAAATATAATAAAATAAAAGCAAGTTCATTGATTCCATTCAGAAACTGGTAAAGCCAGTCCCAAGGAATAATTTCCCCTGGGTGTCCTGCTAGGTCAAACGGAACTCAGTAAGTCAGCTAGTATGATTAAGTGAAACCTATCCAACTACAGCAAAAAAGATGGAGAGATGAAGTAATAACCAAAAGAGTTCAGGTTTAAAAAGCAGAAAAAACCCAGCACAAGAAGAAAGTAGATTTGTGATTTTGTGTTTTTTTTTGAAGTCTCAAGTAGATTGAATTGTCCATGAGATTATGTATTTGTCTACATTGCTTTGCCTAGTATGGCTACACACACACACACATACACACACACACACACACACACACACACACACACACACACACACACACTTCAAGAGGAACAAAGAATAATGAAGAGGAAGAGCCTGAACTTCCAAACCAGAAGAGCTAGGGGGAGCTGTAGTCCACAGCACAGAATAATCCATGTGCTTAGAACCAGGAGGAAGGAACCCTAATGAATCCTGGTGTCTGGCCTCTAGATTGTACTCTTTACTGTGATTTGCTTTTGATCTTCCTTCCCAATAAATTTGCTTATGTTATAATGCAAACTTGGGCATTTGGGTAATGGTAGAGGGAGAGAAAGAAAAAGATTTTGGGCAAATTACACTTGGTCTGCAGCATATGGCTGTGTGGTTTTATGTTCATATCACCAGTTATTTTGTATTCAAAAACTCAAATTGATTTGTGATCTCCTTGTTATGATCTCCCATCAATTTTGTTGTCCAGATCTATTAATTAAATGTTTGTTCCTCTTCACAAAGGCTTAGTATTATTACACATGTGTCTGAAAAATAGCTGCATGATATGAATTCTGGGGAGGAGTACAAGTAGCCTAAAGTTGCCTGGACCTTAGTAATAACCAGAAATTATTGCATTTTTTGGTCCAGACCCTTGTGATGTCATTTGTGTAAGGAGCTCCTGAGGAGGAAACTTTCTCAATCAAAACAGGTAATACTCTGTAGTTGCATGGGGGTACTGAGAAGTGAAGGTGACTGGCTTTTCCAAGGTCACAAAGACAGAGTAGAGTATAAGCAGGTTGGGAGAGTGAAAAGTCAGGAGTCAGTAGACTTGGGTTTAGAACCTACCTTTGCCCTAACTTGTGTGATATAGGGCATGACAACAACCTCCTTAGGGCTCAGTTACTTATCTATAAAATGAGGAAGTTGTACTGGATAGCATCTATGTCTCTTCCAGCTCATCATCTATGAATCTAGATCATCTTGACATGGAGGATGGCCATCTAGCTACTATGCTTTTTTGTCTCAATTCTATTTTTATTTCATAGCAAGAGTTCTCAATCTGCAGTTTGGGAACTTGTTTAAAGTTTTCTGATAACTGTTTCTAAATAATTTATATATATATATATATATATATATATATACACATATATATATGTGTGTGTGTGTATATGCAACACATACACATACATATATACATACAGATACATCCATACACACATATATATGTATACACACACATATAATTGTATTTTCTGCATTGAAAAATCTTATTCTAGCGTCTATAACTTTCATCCAACTTCAAAAGGGACCTGTGACATTAAAAAAAAAAGGTTAAAAACTCCTGTTTTATAGAGGGGCTCATCAATTTTTAGTCCTGTTTCCTGTTTATATATGTTATATATGGGTATGCCTTATTAGGGGAGTCATCAATATGTTTCCTGGGATCATGGTTCCAGAAATAGCATAGTGATATTCTTCAAGAAAATCAGCTTTAAATATCTAGACAGTTCTACTTCAGAAGTGTAAAGGAGTATCACAATGTGTTAATTATTTTAAATTTGAGTAGCAGTGGTTTTGAAAATATCTGCCAAGTACTACTGGACTAATGCCAGTTTTGCTAAATATTCTTCAACTCCACTTTTGATTATACTTAGTCACTGAAGGGATGATGACATGGAGGAAAGAAAGAGCAATGATTGGACTTGTTTGTAGAGAACCCACATTCCAATCATGGCATACATTTCTGGGCCTCAATTTTCCCAAGTTTAAAATAAGGGAGTTGATCACAGTAGAACTCAAGAAGACCAGAATTCAAATCCTGCCACCAATACTTACTAGCTATGTGACCCTGGGCAAGTCATTGAACCACTCTCTACCTCAGTTTCCTCATGTAAAAAGGGGGGATTAGATTCAGTGAACTCAAAGGTCTATATCAACTTTAAATCTCTGATATATTCTTGCCTAAAATCTATGATCCTATTATAAGACTAAAATGCATCAAAATGTTTGTTCTGAATTGAACTATATTGTAGCTAATCTGATTATTCCTATGATTTTCCTATTTAACAAAAATCTTCTGGAGACATAAAGGTGGTGATTGATCCATATATATCTTTAAGACACATTAAATAATCAGATCTCCTTTGCCACAATCCAGTCCTTTCATGTTCATAGAAACAATCCCAATGGCATCATGCTTCCTAAGCATTTGCTGAGAATGGGAAATTAGTCTTTATTTAAACTTTCTTTAATTTTTTCTCTTTATTTCCCCTTAATCTTGAGGAAGCCTGATGATGGTTGATGACTCACACTAAAGAATGCTGGTTTTTTGCTCACTGCTAAATATGTCAAAGGCGAAGGGAAAAAAACAAAAACAAAAACTTACACTCTTGGAATGGGAAATAGATTAGCCTCCCCTGCAGTGCTGCTACTTCCTTCACTGTCCACACTATATCCACTGCCAAAGCTGCTGGCAGATGAGCCCGTAGAGATGGAGCTTTCAGCAGGTCGGTGATTAGTAGGTCTTGCTGTATAGGGTGGGAACAACAGGTTAGCAAAAACCTTTAAAAATATTTAATATGAAAAGGTTGCAAGTGCATATCATAAAGTATGCATTTAACATTGCATATAACATAAACCTAAAAATATCTATGAGCATTATCTATTTTTGGAAATAATACAAATTCAGATTTTTTTCACCTGTTGATTATATTAAATTTCTGATCAATAAAGTTCCATAGCAAATTAATATATGATCCTTGTCTTATGGAGGAAGTTTATTGGATGGATAGGGGACAGCCAAAACACTATTCTTGAGAAGCCCATAATTATTCTTTCATTGCAACTCTAAGACCAGACTGCCTGCATCTTTCCTTCACTTTTGACATAATTTTTCTTTCACAATCCATGGTCATGATAACTTTGAGGACACATAATTAGGTTGTATATTTTTACAGAGAAAACATTTCAAAAACCACTTACCAACAGAAATGGGGACAACAAGAGGATAAACAACCATTGACGTCTTAACTCCATCTTAACAAACAATGAGATGTGGGTTTATTCTTTTATTCTTTTTTAGCAACAGAGAATAGCAAAATATAACAATTTCTTGATATGTTCAAATTGGTTGAAAATTATCTGGTCATTTAGACAGACTTCAGAAAATTAAATACGTAGAGATCCCTTTGTCTTGTACAGGCAGTCCTTGATGTTGTGTTCCCAAAATCTGCAAATCAGTTTAGCATGCTGAACGTATTTTCCTATGGAAGTACATTTAAAATGGTGAATGAGTTCTCCAGCTGTCCCACAAAGGTCAGTTTAACCTTTAGTATAGTTGAATTGCTGGTTAAAACAGCCTTAGTTTCGAGATTGGGATTAAAGAGCCAAATAGCAAAAGATGGAGAATAGTAATCACTTTTTTTTCCCTAGACAAAGAGACATCCTTAAATAATTTTTTTTAATAATAGATAAAATCTTCTCATGTTCCATTCCACCTTCTTTTCTGAGTTTCTCTCCCACCAACTGTTACCTCTCTAGAAGGCCTCATTCCCTTGGTGCTCTTATGTTATTCCAGCTAGATATTAGGAACAAAGCTTTCTAATTGGCCTATTTCGTTTCCATTGGAGATTTCTCTTCCACTGCTGAAAACTGGCATCTCCTATGTAATTTACAGTCTGAAAGAGTTGCCGTGGGGCACTGGGAGTTTAAAGGATTTGTTTTCGGGTTTATTGATTGGATTTGTTAGATGCAGGACTTGGATCCAGGTCATTCTGACTCCACATTCAGCCCTCTACTTAAGGGCCGCTTTGACTCTCAAACTATAAATCATAAAACTATTTAAATGGGAGGTATCACTTTAACTCTACTGTAATTTTCTTCTTTGAAAGATTACACTAGGAATCTCCAGCATTTTAAGGAAAATAAATAAAATATGCAGAATTTGTGGGAAAATATATTCTGGGGCAATGGTAGGGCTTTGGTATAGTGACAAGCACACTGAGTTAACATAAGAGGATGTGAATTCTTGAGCAAGTCACCTTATATCTTTAGTACTCGGTTTCCTCTTCCATAAAATGAGGAAATTTGAGTAACTGTGCACTATAGCCCATTCTGGTTCTTAGTCTTATGGCTCCTCAGGCTACCACCCTGGAAAGCCAGTACCAACTGGGAGGCCTTTCCCAGGATTAGCTTTTTTGCCCTGTTTTAGTTTTTCATAGTTTCCTTTTCCTTCACATTATGTTTTAAAGATTCTTTTAAAAAAATTCCCTCTTTTCTCATGAATGCTACTTTGGCTTTACTCAAAGATGACCAAGTATTAAGGGTAAGGATCATGGTAGTTTAGGAAACTAGGGCAAGGGCAGTTTATATTGTAGATAGGTAACAATGTAGATGGAGTGCTGAATAGAGTCAGGAGGATCTGAATTCAAGACCTGAATTCAGATACTAGTAGTATGATCCTGGGCAAGTCACTTAACCTTTGCCTTAGTTACCTCAACTGTAAGAAGGGAATAATACTAACACCTCCCCAGGGCTATGAGGAGGAAATGAAATAATGTATGTGAGATAATATATGGGAAGTGCTTTGCAGTGCTTAAAGTGCTATAGCTATATAAATTCTAGCTTCCAGACACTTATAAGATAGAGATTGCCTATTTGAAATATATTGTTTACAAACCACAAAGTAATTTTTTCCTTACCAAATTATCTGTCTTTAAATAAAGTAAAAGTGTTCATTTCCTCCAGTATTTTAAAGAGACAAAAGCTACAAAAATGGATTATTAGTTAGCTAATCTTAAAAAAAACAAACGGTAGAATCACTGAGATACATTTTTTTACATACATATATTTGTACGTATGTACATATATAATATTGTGAAACTGTAAAAGGCAGATTGAGTTGTGTTTACAAATAAAAAGTAAATTCAATGAAAATTATCAGTCAAAACAGTTTGACATTTCTATATTAAACTGCTTACTAAGTTTTTTACTTGACGGTAGGCTGATTTTTATCATGTAGATCCAACTTTAATTTCAACAGTAACAACAACATAGAAGACTTAACGAAGTAGTTCGACTGCAACATTCCATATTCCATTGCTATTAGAATATTATTAATCCAATTCTTTAAATTGTGCCTTATTGAGATGAACAGTTTTTCCCCCATTCTGATACGACCTACATAATATGTTACACAATATCACAGGATTTATATCTTAATCTTCACATTTGGCAAAATTTTCACTTTATACATTTTGCTAGCTCTGGGTTCAAGATAAACATATTTATTTTTAAAGTGAGAAATATGGCACAAATCATGAGACAATATAATGACAAAAGGAAACAAAGGATGGAGTTGGAAATAAGTCAATGCAATGCAGTTTTTCATTTTGAAGTGTCACTTGAAAAGTCTGATAAAGTATTGTAAATATTTAAAATAATTTTAAAATAAAATATAAAAAAAAGTAAGTTTTGAAAAATTTAAACATCTATAGCCTATCCTTCTAAAGTAAAACCATGGAATGGTATCTCAGATAAGTAAACTTGAGTCTGTGTGTACAAATTTTCAGGTATTTATATGAAAAGTACTTTTAGGAATCAGTTTCTGGATGTTTTCGATAGACAACACTAAAAATCTTACATATTGGCATTGCATTAATATAGAATCTGTGTAATTGAATTTTCTCACTTGAATGTCCATTGGTCTAATTGTATGTAAACAGAGTATGAAAAGACTGGTATTTAGCAAGTTTCTGGAAGAAAAAAATCTAAACTATTATTCACTTTTACTTGAGCTGTATCTCTACAGCATAAAAGCAGACTGAGGAAAAATAGAAAATTCAGTCAGAAATACAAAAGTTTTGAGAACTTTAATATTGAGATATTTCAGAATATCTGAATAATTTCTGAAAATTTTATACAAATACTTGACAATAAAATGTGTAGGTATGTTTAGTCTTTTGTGTAGACACAGCTTAATAATGTATAAATATAAACTTAAATGTCCTATGGGAACTAGCTGACTTAGTGAGTTTGAAGGTAGGCATACACATACACACATACACACATGTGTATGTTTCTCTATACATACACTACATACATACATGTATATATTATAGTGACTTGCATGTATAGTACACACACACACACACACACACACACACATATATACACATATATATGAATGTGTGTGTATAAATACACACATATTGGTGACTCAATCCAAACAAGTCTCTGGACTGTTTTTCTAGATGTTCATAGTTTTATATATATGTATATATACTTACAAAATATGCCAAGTATTTTTTTTCCCACTTTAATGTCCTGAACTCTCCAAATAATGAATGTCTTTGTACCTCTGTAAGCATATAGGAAGAATGAATATACCTATTTTCTTCACAATTCCCAAAGCACTCTGTGCGGAGTTACTAAAACATGATGTTGCTTAATAAATTGTTGAGTGAAACAATGAAAACTCCAAATGTCAATCACTAAGATCTATCTGAATATATAAATATTAGGTATCATCTAGAAAGAGAGATCTGATTTGATGGAACTTATTTTCTTTCTTTCTGTTATGTACATGCAGTCTCAACTTGAAGCTCTCCAGATTTTGAAAATAAAATTAAAGTAAGCCCAAAAGAGTGCAAATTAGGCATTGAAGTAAATGTTATCATTGTTGCAAATCTGTTTCCTTTCCTGAGAATTCAACAACTGTAGTTCAAAATAGTTCTTGCATTACAGAAATCACTTAATGCTAATATTTGCCATAGCTACTTTTATTTCATGCTCTATTCATCTTTTTGGAGGCTTTGGCACTGTCTACAGAGTGCCAAAACATCCAGTTAATTCCATTACTTCAGTTAAAATTCAGTGATGTTTTTATTTTGTGTCAAGAAAAAAATCTGAGTGTTTCATTGATGTTTTGACTTTTTATTCACATTTTAATTGAATAGATATAATCTCAGTCTCTTATCAAAAGGGCCAATAAGCTTATAATTTTAATTCACATTTTATTGTGTTCATATGAAAAAAATTAAAATAATATTTTGGGACTAATTTTCAGAATTTAACATGATCAGATGATTCAACAAGATATTAATTTCAAACAGTCAATTTACTAAGAAATATAGTTTCTTATTTACATGAAGTAAAACAGTCCCATTTAACTGAATACGATGACATTATATAGATACAGTCTATTAGTTCCGAGATCACATGGGATAACCTAATGTATCATTTTACTTATTGTGAAATAACATTTTGTTCTTTCCAAGTGATTCAGAGTCAATCATGCTGGACTCTGCAGTTTCTTTCAGGTCTACTTTGATGATTCTATAATTTAATTGTCCTATGTATGTTATCACATTTGAAATATTTAAAAGTTTGCCTTTTTTAATGATTATACCAACCTCTTTATCATTTAAAGAAATATCTTTTAAATTCTCTGCTTTTTTTATGGCCAAAAGGGGAAGAAAAAGGTGGATACATTTTTAAAATTATATTAGCAAATGATGACCTAAAGTAA